GCTATGATGACACCACAGCCCTCTATTCAGCATGACATAGTGAAATTCTGCCCTTTAAAGAAGCCTTATTTGGTTAATAGTTTAATTATTTCCAGCGCCTAGGAGAGTTTCTAGCACTCAATACAAATTTATTACATTAACTAATTAGTTAATGGCAGCAAAATTAACCATATATTAAAATAAGCCCTGGTCATTGATAAATTTAGATTAGTAATACTTGAGTTCCAAAAATAAAAGAGTTCTTTTCTTTGTTGGAATAAAGCAGCTATTCAGATCGCCTTGATTTTTGTCTTTTATGTTATTTTCTTCCTTGTAAGCATGGCATCTGCCATTAGCAGGGTGAAAAATTGGCATGTGTACCTTCAGAATATGCTGCACTGAACTAACTGCGCCTAAGCCGCCAGGGCACATATGTTCATCTTCTCTGGGCCAACACACACACACACAAAAAAAAACCCATAGGTTTTTCAGGGTCAAGAGCATCTATAATTACATCACAGGGTTAGGAAAAGAGACATAAATAATATTCATTAGTAACTGATCACGGGAAACAGGCTGTCTAATATCCATCCATTTTAATGAGGAAAATGCATGCATGGCTTGGCCTCAATTAGAGACACACACACAAACAGACGCACACAGTGGAAATGGGCTCTTTTATTAATGTCTTGAATAAGTTACTACTTCAGGAACTCCCCCTGACTTTTGCAGCTTCATCCTTTGAAAGTCTCCAGGGATCCAGAAACTCTTTGTACCGCACTATTACTAACCCACACCAAAACACAGCCCTCCTTCCTAAGGGGCCCCTTGCTCTCTGAATTCTGCCATTACCAAATAGTTATAAATATCTTCGGGTTTAAAGATTCACATTAAATTATTCTGGGAAGGAAAGAGGCTCAAAAGTGTGGAAGAACTTGTTTTTATGTCTTGTTCCTAGAGGTCATGGTTTACCAAAAACTCCACAGTCATCTTCTGTATTGTATTGGTCAAGGTCTCCAAAGATACAGAAGTAATAGGATGGGGGGAGGGATGGGGGAGGGAGGGAGGGAGGGATGAATGGATAGATAGAGACAGGTAAATTGAGATATTTATAGACATGTAACATATATAATATGTACATTTGTAATATATAATAATATAATTTATTACATAATATCTCTGTAAATACATATTACATATATAAATATATAACTAAGATGTAAGTAAATGTATACACTATAAATATGTATTATAGATGTTAATAAATTAATGAATAAGAATATGTAAGTTGTAAATGCCAGCAGATCTGAACTCTGAAGGGCAGGCCAGCACTTCCCGTGATTCACCTTCGTCCTAGCCCTGGATGCTCTGCTGCCTCTGCAGGGCCACAGCTCCTTCGGCCTCCCCATGCCCCGCAGAGCAGCAGTGCCCAGGGGCTGCAGCAGCTGCCAGAGTCAGAGAGCAAAGGTGGCCAACAGGTGGAGAATGTTTTGTAAATGATTTGTAAAATTTCATGCTGCATATTTTGTCAATAAAAGTATATGCAGCCATAATTTCACATTTTCTGTATGTATGGCGACTCTTTGGGTGGCTTTTGGGACACCCTGTCTACTGTTCAGTCACAGTGAACTCACCGCCACAGTGCTGTGGCTTGTGCCTGAGTGAAGGTTACCTGACACACATATTTTCTCTGTAAGGCACATCACTGCTTTCCTGCACTTAGAAACACTAACCAGCACTTCAGCTCTCTCCTCAAGGGCTACTTTGAGCAGCTGAATCACCAACATAACCCATAAAAACTGTGAAATGTGTGACACTAAGTGCACTGTGAAAGGATATTGGTTTACAGTATGACAGCTTCAAGAAGACAAAGGGTTCGTTGCTTTGGTTGACCTCAGCTGGGAACAGGCGCTCTGAGTGACTCAGATTTTTTCATTGCTCTCACATGTCTGCAAATGATGGGACAGTGTCTTAAGTGTTGATGTTGGGGTTATAAGTAAATTTTAATAAGAAAATGAATTTACAAAAAGAGAATCCTCAAATAATGAGAATCAATAGTACTTATTTGTATAGAAAAAATGTATTGAAGCTGAGTTTTGTATTTTAGTGAATTTGTGTTGCCCTCAACTACTGATTGAGAAAATTGAGATGCAAGAAGTTCAAATAGCTTGTACAAATTGTACTCCTAGTAAGGGCTAGGGGTGGGATTTAATTTGTACAATCTGGCTCCAAAGTTCTAATGTTCAAGTGCTACAATAGATTAGCTCTTTTGAGAAATAAGTATTAAGTTTTAGAATTTCAGGGGTTTACAGTAAGAAAAGGTGTTACTTTGAAGGTTGTTAGGGTGGCGCTTGTGGCTCAGTGAGTAGGGCGCCAGTTCCATATACCAAGGGTTGTGGGTTCAAACCCGGCCCTGGCCAAAATGCAACAACAACAACAAAAAAGAAGGTTATTAATTAAGAAGAAATTAAGATTCATTTGAATATAATGCAGATGGAAACTTAAACCTTTTCAACTAAAATGTCAAAAAGAAAGAATATTTTGCATGAAGTTTCTTGAGACTCCAAGGGAAATATAAAGTGGATGCAGCTTTTAATTTTTTCTTACATATTTGATACAGTATATTTTAGTAATAAGAATTCAATTGCAACAGTTAATGAGGTAAATACAAAATTAAAGTTAGTAGTATAGTGTGTGCATTGACTTCCGCACTTTTCACTCTCATATTTTAGGTAACTCATCTTGGGGCTTTGATGAACTGTTATTTACCTGGTGCATTTTGTTCCCAATATCAAGGTTTTGCAAATACAATGACCTTGGCAGTCTTTTTTTGTCACTTGTAATTCTAAATAAGATTATACATCTACTGTTTGGACAGCAGGGGAAGAGTGACACCCCCACATGAAGCATATTGGTCCTCCTGTCACCAAGCACAAAGATTCCCAGTAATCTGTTTTACAGATCCACAGAATTGCTAACATTCCATCAGATTTCAAAACCTATTATTTAAAAATGAAAATTATTACCTTTCTTCAATCTTCCCCCAAACTTTTCTTACTCTTTTCATTAGTACCTGATAAAATTCCAGGAAAACATTACCCTACAGGGAGTCTGTTGGCTAACCTACCTGTAGCATGCATTGAACTTAGGAGAATACCAGAAGTCCTGTAACTCTCACTCCGACTCTTTAGTTTGTATAAATGAGAAAACCAAGGTCCAGAGAGATGGATTCTTTTTTTTTGCAGTTTTTGGCCGGGGCTGGGTTTGGACCCACCACCTCCGGCATATGGGGCTGGCACCCTACTCCTTTGAGCCACAGGTGCCACCCAGATGAAGGATTCTTAAGAACCACAAACATAGCCGTTGAACTGGGATTGGAGCATAGCTCTCCTGATTTTTAATCTTCTCTTAATTGTGTGCTTCACTGTTTTCTCTTAAAGTGGCCACCTGGCCATCCTACTCTGAATAAGTAGTTCAGCATTCCAGAGAATAATTTATGAGAACAAATGAATTACCTGGTCCTGCATTTCCAGTTCCCACACTCATCTCACTGTTAAATTGTCATTTAATGCTTACCTGCCAAACTTGGGTATATTCCCACTGTATCATAGTAGTGAACCAGGTTAATCTTTTGAAAGCTTTGTTTTGATTACTTCAGTTTAATTATTGGCCATCTTTTATAGGGATTACCTAGAAAAGTTTAGAAATAGCTCGGCACAAACAAGTATATAACTCAAAGTCTTTGCCATCCGCCAACTCATCTGTTTATTTTTATTGGCCAAACTCATGAAATTGAACTTTCCTTAAAAAATTCACCCTGTACCCGTCAATCTGTTCTCGTGAAATTGCCATTTGACAGGCATTGACTGAAACAACTGAAAATTTATTTTGTCCAGAAAAAAGCAAAGGCAAATTTTCTACACTTCTTGTGACTTATGGCTTCTCTATTTATGCCTCGATAATAAAACAGATGTGATTAATCTGGATTAATTAAGTGAAAATGGCCGTCAAATGAAGCAAATGTATACTGAAGATTCAGTGCATTCTAAAGAATTCTTTTGTCTTTTTAAGAAAGCTTTTATGTTAATTTAACAGTATTATAAATGGATTGTCAAGTGAATATGCAAGTTTAAGAAAATAACTGGTGTATGAACCAAGACACTTAATGCAGATTCCGTTTTCAAAAACATTATGAGGTGGTAACTGTTTTCCATTGTTTTAGAATTTTGCTAGAAGAGAATAGACTTTTGTTTTGATGCCTCTGTGTCTATGGTTAGGTCTCCCTAATTCCTGCCTCTGCTATCACCACAGCTTTTAAGCTGATGTGTAATTTTTATAACACTTTTTTTCAGTAAGTTTGTGCTTTGTCTGTCATTGGGATAGCATTTTACATCCACCATTTTATATTTGTGCATTATAAATATTTCTTTTAATTGATAGTTAAGTAATTATGAAAAGCAAACTCTAAAACCTTCCTATAAAAGTTGTCAAATCCTGATGGAAATTTCTATACTGGACTTGTTTATAAGAGTGCTTGCCTGAATTTCTGTTGCAGTTGGCTTTTGAAAGAAAAATTTCACATAGAAATCTAATGTAACCCCTCCAGGCATTTCATGTGTATTTCAGCTTTAGAAGAAGCAGACAAGGGATGATGGAAATGAGAAATGATTTTATAGATGAACTGATGGAATTTTGTTATTTTGTGTTTGGCTAGTGTCAAAAACGAAAGCTATTACAACATAATGATTTCGTTCTACATTTTAGATGTTAAGTATCTTCTAAATTAAACTTACCCCACAAGTAAGAGTGGGACATTAATTCTAGTGAGAATATTAGTTTATGTTTAAGGTAAGACATTGAAGGGAATAAACATTCAACACTGCTAAACCATTGATGATTTCTTTTTATGCAAACTTACACTATGAGCCTGCTCTGCTTTGTGTTGATTACTTTTAAGAGTAGATTGTGTTTAACGTTTGGTAAGATTGCCAATAAGTTTCAAATTCTAATTATACTTGCAGATACTCATTTCAAAGAGTTTCCAACTCTTCTCCACTGTGCTGCAAAGTTTGGCCTGAAGAACCTGGCTGTTCATTTGCTCCAATGCCCAGGAGCAACCTGGGCATCTAAGGTGAAAAATACAGAAGGTTCAGACCCAGCACATGTTGCTGAAAGGCATGGTCACAAAGAACTCAGGAAAATCTTTGAAGACTTTTCAGTAAGTTTTCTTCTCCATCATATCTCTAAGATTCCTTTTCTACAATAAGTGTGTGTTTGCGCATAATAGATGGCTTTTTGGAAAGGGATGATCCTGCATAGGTAGTTTGTTGGTCCTGAGTCTCCTCTTGTCTTAAAAAGCATTTTGCAGGACCAGTCTACTTGCTTTAGTATTGCCAGACACCAACTCCATACTCCCACCTCCGAATAACCTTTTTAGAATCCTGTCTGTTCTTTCTGTGCGTCCTGTTCGCTGTGGGAGAAGAGACGGTGCAAAAGGCAATGAACATCCGTTACCTTTAGAATTTGTTTTAGAGTCTAGATATGGCACTATTAGACACAAGAAAATACATCAACAATCAGTAGGTTAAAGGAATGAATCTTGATACCTGCCATTTAAATTTCTTTTCTTACGTGATTCCTTTTCTTTCTCCATGTTAAACCTCAATTCTTTATCATGTAAACTGAAGGCCTAGATTTCAGAACACTGTCTGAAGGTTTTTAGTTCTCCAAGAATGCAACTAAGGGAAGTTTTCTTAAAGGGGGGGATACTATTTCAGTACATAAAGCATATTTCGTGTTTCTATCATCAAGTTTTAAAAAATAATTGTTTTCTGTTTGTAACAAAAGTATATACATTTTGTTCCAGAAAGTGAATTATTCTTAGATCAGAGTGATCTGCTATTGGGAGGGAAAAGGATAATGCTTATGGTGGTAAATATGTCCAAATTTGTTTGTGGAGTCTCCGAATCAGAAAAGAACAGAACAGAAATAATTTTATTGCCAATAAACAAGTTATATAAAACATTTAATTGCTGGCATGGTGCCTGTAGCTCAGCAGCTAGGGTGCCAGCCACATACACTGGGAGATGGCAGGTTCGAATCCAGCCCGGGCCTGCCAAACAACAGTAACAACTACAACCAAAAAATAGGTGGGTGTTGTGGCGAGCACCTGTAGTCCCAGCTACTAGGGAGGCTGGGACAAGAGAATTGCTTAAGCCCAAGAGTTTGAGGTTGCTATGAGCCGTGATACCATGGCACTCTACCCAGGGTGACAGCTTGAGACTCTGTCTCAAAACAAACAAACAAACAAAAAAAACATTTAATTGCCATAAGTAGCTGTAGCTTCTAGTGATTTTTCTTTTATTCTGATCATCAGATTAAGCCAACCTAATAATAGATTTCTAAAAATACCATTGTTATTTGTGATTTTCACAAAGAGAAATGATGATCAATGAATTTTTTTTTCATTTTTAAGAAATTGAAAAACAGAAGAACACAGATATCATCCACTTTGTGGAATTACAATAGAATATAGTTTGCCCATATTTAAAATAAATGCAGAACATGAAGTTATGTAATGCAGTTAACAAGCTACTGTATTTTTAGTCCAAGTCTTTCAAGTAAGAAATAAGTATTATTGTTATTTCTGGAGGAATTTCTCTTTAACATTAATGCTGATGTTTAACTGGTTCTACTTTATCCAGTGAGCACATTCTTTAAATAATCACCCCTTGTATGTGGTCATTGACCCGAGCAGCACGTAGCCTATTTCAGTGAAGTCCATCAGTCAGGTCTCCTCCGATGTTTTCCCAAGATGCTGTCATTCACTAATTCCCGGTGTCTGTCTTCAACTCTCTACAACCCTGTTCTCTAATTTTTACTTACTGGTGGACTTAGATTAAAATTTTCCCTATAAATTTTAAGTAAGCCTCAGCATTCAGGGTTACTTTCTAAGATAAACCCTGGTTTTCGAAGAGTGATGTTCCCACTTCATACTCTCCAGTGGAGACAGATGCACCCTGTGGAAACTGCAGGTGCTGCAGAAATAACACAATACTACCTAATGATAGCAGTAATGTGAAAGTAGTTATGAGGCTAGGAGGGGTGGGTTGATGGGTGTGAGAAATATTTTTTTTCTCCTACATCCTCTAAGGATATCTATTTCTGCTCTTGCAATCACAGCACTGGTTCAAGTCGATTGCTATATTGTTTCTGGGTGACTATTCACTCGTTTGTAGGGGCTGCAGTCTAATTTTGCAGAGTTATACTTGATAATTATCCTAGGAAATTTATTAAGTGATTTTCTGTACCCTATCTCTGTGAGCTTTTACCATGTGCCAGAATGTCTGACGTTGACATCACCATTACAGATAAGTTAGATCCATTACTGGGGGAATATTTTGCTGTCAGTAAGGAAGTGACTTTTGCTGTTGCAAGGGACAACATACCTGTAAATTAATTTTAATACAGCTAAGGATAATTATAGATGTAATTATCTGCAAGCTACCAAAGACATTTTTGCAAATGTGTGTGGTTCACAAAATGGAAAAATATATATTAGCTTGGAACAGACACTGAAGTGTTTTCTGTTGATTGATCTGCCACATAAATCATACTCCTATCAATTTTGTTTAAAATGAGTTAAGACGTCATAGCTTTGTCATGAAGGGGTATACCAGATAACCACATGTTGACACTACCTATTCTAAATTATAGTAATGTGTTTTTAAAAGTGTATCTAAAACTGAAAGAAAAATACTTTGGAATCTTATCATACTCTTAAAATACTTTACAGTTTTTACTATTTATATAGTTTTAGTGTTATAACTACATTCTGATACATCTAAGATCATCACTTCTGTATTCAAATTTTCCTCAAACTACTATTTCAGAAGAGTTGAACAGAGCAGGTATTTTTCAAGTTTGAGGTTTACAGTCTACCACAGGACCATACTCTGTTTTGAAGACATATCTATTTTTCAATTTAAACATTTTTCTCCCCAGATAATTTACTGATTTGTTCAATTTTTCCTAACCCCCCATCAAGGAAACATTGTTCATTTGAGGATATCACTGGGAATGGCAATACAGAGGGTCGGGTCATCCCTGAATGAAGCAGATAGGAAGAAAAAACAGTTACGATTTTAGAAAAATAACAGAAAAAAGCATTAGCAGTTATAAAACAATTACTACCCGTATCTTTGTACTAGCTGTGTGGATGGTGGATGAGGGAAGATCTCAAATCATATTTCTTAGGTTGCTTTGTGACATTTTCCCTTGAGAAGTTAGTAATTTATACATAAGCTATGAACAGAGCCTCTTCTTTGTGGATGAATAACTTTTATGTTTTGATAAAGTTATTTCCTTAACACATGTATTTCATTCATAATGTAGTACCATTACTGGATAACAATACTCACGCTATATATTTCTATGATCTTTCAAATATCTACTCATTTTTCTGTCTCTGATGTCGACTGAGAGAATTAATATGAAAGAGAGATGGATAAAGAATAGTAGGAGATTTGGTATTTAAATCCCCAACTGGGTATGAAGCACAATATGCTTCTCGTAATTTTTGAGGAAGGCCTTCATTTCAGATAACAAATACATGTCGGTTGTGATATTGGTGATTCATTAAATGCTTTAAAAACGTATCTTTTAAATTGAAAGTACATGGAGATTTGAAAACAAACTAGAACTTGCCCTCAGATTAAGAGGTACTTCAAGATTTAAGATAAAATATACAGCAAACATTAGTATGTCTTCTAAGTAAAATAATATAAGGAATACATCCTCAGATTCATTCAATTAGGTCGCTCTATGCACTCTCTTTTAAAACCTTTAGCAAAATGATAACATTGATACATAGACCAGAAAACAGTATGTCCCTCTCTGTTGGCTGGCCATGGCACTGAAGAACCCCCAAGTGTTTACTATTTGGGGGAACAATATTCAGAAAATATCTTTTTTCTTCCACCAGTGTTTACTCATGTAATTTGGCATAAATATTAATAAGATATTAATAATAAAATTTCTTTAAGAAAATTTGAGAAATAGGAGAATGATCTTTTCCTACACGTCTTCTAGCTGGCTTGTCAGGACTCCTGTTCAGGAATCTTTCTATTACTCACAGCTGTGATGAGATTCCTGTGACATTATGTTTGCAGTACCCTACCCCTGCACGCTTCTTTGTCCCTGTGGACATTGGGCTCAAGTGTGTGTGTGTGTGTGTGTGTGTCTATGAGAGACAGAAATTGAGCTGTTGATTCTGTTACCCTCTGATCTTTTTCACATGGTCAGGGGTTTGGAATGCAGGAATAAAGGGAGGGGTATTGAAGCACATACAATATCCCTCATGGAGAATGATAATTAACAGACTAATATAGAGGACTGATTATCAGAAATTAGGTTTAGTGTTTAGGCTGGTGAACGTTTCCTGCTCTTGGCCATGGACTTGCCTCATTCTCAGCATGGCTCACTCAGTACTTCACATGCACCATTTTGTTCTCAAATGGAGTGTTCCATTTAATTTGGGATATATGAGTATCATTTAACTAAGTTAAAATGGAAGCATACCTGATTTTCCTGTGTAGTTTTTCTTTCCTGTAAGTCTAGGAGCTCTTGGTGGGCGACAGGCTCCCTTCCCTCTCCCTTCCCCACCCTTCCCTCTCACCATCAGGTGCACAGAAGGTGCTCAGTGTGTGTTTGTACTTGTCTGATCTCACTTTCCCAGTCATACCCTTAACTAGTTCCCTATTGTAAATAAAACAGTTGGTCATATTCCTTATAAATGTAGAATTCTTTTTAAAGTTTGGCTTTAGAGAATTCATGGATAGCCCAACTGCTGTCTTTGGCATATATTGTTAATACGTCAGACTACACTGAACTTTTGAATTCTGGCCTTTGTTCAATATGGATGCTCTGAACTGAAGAACTGGGAACAAATCATGTAACTGCACTTGACTGCATGCATTACAAATGTAAGTCTCACTTATGCTTTTGAAGCTACTTAGCAAACTCTTTCTAAAATTCCACTATGCCCCATAGTGGCTATTACAGATTTTTACTCTTCCCAAGCTCTCAAACCCAGCTCTACATGGCCTATGTAATTTCCCTTAATTAACTCCTTCTTCTTTGTTGAATTTTCATTTTCTGCTATTCAGAGAGCCTCCTTGGTACTTAGCCAGGTCTGGGTTTTAAACCCAACTTCATCAA